TTGGCCTTGTAGTTTGATTGCAAGGAAAATAACCTTGAGCTTGGGTTTGTTGAGAAATGTGAAATTGAACAAACATGTTCCATGTGTTCAGAATCTGAGCTAGTCAACAACATTTGGGGAGATGCTCTACAGACACAATACCTACACTAGCACTGTGAAAGGGGATAAAATAAATAGAAGCCCTGGCCTGCTCTACAGGACCTGGCAATCTCAAAGGCAATGCAGGGCACACACATGAACAAGAACACATATGTAAGGCTGTGTATCATTAGGAGCACATTGTGGCAGCATAAAGGTCCTGACATTTTTGGAAGGTTGGAAAGAGGAAGGACCACAGCCTAAGGTTTTGTAGGTTATGTCTTACACAAAAGCCGAGGATGTTTAAAAGTCATAGTTGCGTAGAGAAGGTAGGACAGAGAGTAGGAGGGGATATCACCACCAAACAGTGAAATTAAGCAAAGAAAAAGCCAGTGTCTATCTGACTTGACTATGTGATATCTAACTTGACTATCACATAAGGTAAAAGGTTAGCCCCATGCAGATGAATGAACACCTCTTGGGCATTATACATTTAGGGAAGTTTTAGACAAATACAACTACAAAAGCCACGTGCACAATCTTGCAATTCAAATTAGCTCAAGCGTTGAAAATAAAACAAATTTCTACATGCCAAATCATCTTCTGGTCCACATTGTGCACTGCTACAATCCCAACACCTAGCAACTAGCAGACAGTCAATATATATTTGTTGAATGAACGTATGTATGAATCAATGATTGCATCACCCATCTCTTAATAGCCCACACTGTTTAACCAATCTTGCCAGGTGGTCTATTATTGCCTAATCTTTGTTCTTCTGGTAGAATTCGGGGCATATTTCTCAAATGTTGGTGCGCATCTGTACTCTAATAGTGTTCTGTGTGTTATTCCCACCACCACTTCTAACAGTCATCTCTCTATACCCAGCACCTAGCAGAGTGCCTGTAATATGGTAGTTGCTTGACATAGGAATCAAAGAATTAGTGGACAGATACATGATGAATAAGTGGAAAAGAACTATGGAGACGATAGTTTGAAATAACTTCTCTGCTACATTATTACATAGTAATTCCCAACTTGAGCTCACCTGATTACTAGGGAAATGGAATGGTAGCATTTGGGGTCCTTGAGGCATTTTCAAAATGCTTGGCCAAAATCATGTCCTCACCTAAATGGAGTAGGCACAATGAGGGGCACCAGAAAGCCTCCTCAGTTCATATAAAGTGCCTATAGTTTATAACTTGGCCCACTGCATGATTCTATTCTTTGTTAAAACCAGATGCTTTCTTCTCCTCGTATCTTTAAAAAAACATTTTTTAAAAAGGACATAACTGCTTATTGTTTAAAAAACAAACAAACAAAAATGCTAAACTCACAGAGGGATTTGAAAAAAAAACAGAGCATTTCCAGATACCAGGACATCTAGCCAGGTTTATTAGAAAATAGCTGAATACCCATAGGAGCTACATTATCATTCTCTCTTTTCAAACTTGTCTAGAGATAGAATTTTGTGTTTGAAAATTTGACTTGGTTCATTTTTAGAAACACTTAAATTGAATACCTACTTCGAGAGCTAGAGAACTGTTCCCTGGATGGAAAACTGGATATTCTCTGCCATTATAGGGTAAAATGAAGATTCAAAGTTTGTTCCTGATATTATAGGCTCATAAATGTAGGGGAAGGAACCAACAATTATATAGGCCTTACTATATACCAGACAGTAACCTAGGCATTTTACATTGATTTCTACAGCAATGCAGTTTGGTAGGCATTTTCCTCTGTCTTAACAGTTGACAAAACCATGATTCAAAGATTTGGATTGACTGGCCTGAAGTCATGCAGCTAATAAGTAGCAGAGCAGTATTTCAAACCCTGGTTTGTTTGACTCCCAAACCCCTGCTCTTTCCACAATGGCACCTACCTCACGATTTCACACTGCCTTTACTGCATACCCACCTCTACATCCCAAGTTGCCTACAGCACCATTAGCTCCCATGGCAGGATTGCAGGGCAGTGATAGTTACTATTACCATAACTGTGGCGGGGAGGGGGCTGGGGGGCATGCCTGTGCAATTTACATATGGAAGCTGTCTTAGTTCTGGGTCTCATCAAAGACATTCAAACCTCTTATCCGCATTCCCTCTAACAAATGAGGAGGGAAAAAAATCTATGTATCCCTGTATATATTTTGGGGTTGACATCTAGATATTTCATCATAAATAAAAACAATTGCAAAGGATGTAACTTCAAGAACATGGTAAATACTGACATTTAAAATAAAACTACTCAATAAATGTATCCAATGGAATCTGAATACTATAAGGATTTGTTACTCATAACCATGTATTTAAAAATTAAATGACTAAAATCTTCTTTAAGAACAGAAAGTTTACATCATTCCTTTTTCTTCCTAAATTATTATTTCCATTCCACATCCCCACAGGATCTTATCGTAATGTTATAAAATGCTTATGTTCTAGTCTTTTATTATTATTGATCACCCTATCAAATTTCTTCATAACAAAAGTATAAATTGAATTTAAATTTTTTTCCTATGGCCAGAAGGTAATACATGTTAAAATGTTTCTTCTACATTAGTTATTATTCAGTTATTACCAGTACAAAAATGCTCAAAAGAACAGAAATATAATACAAATTTTGGTAAATAACTATTAGACATAAAAATACTTTTTTATTGGAAACACATTGCTTAAAGATATGTCAGGATTTTCATCCAACTATCTATTATATCCACAGAATATTGAGTACTAAGGAACAGGATTCAGCATCAATTATATGTTTAGTTTCCATTTTTATAAAAGCAAGTGCTAAGAAACCTTATTCATATCAATAAGTATCTGTGAATGGATAGAGTTTTATTATTCCATTGTCACTCAGTTTTCTTAAACTCTTTGAGTTATGGGCCAAAAAGTCATATGATGATATTTTGGGTAAAATAACATTTTTAACAATCTATCATCTGACAGCTTAATTAGGTTCTCCTTAAATTTTATTGAAGACAAAGAATTAGGAACCACACAACTTAGAAAAGGATTTATTGTCCAAGAAGCCTCTGAGATGGTCCCCTGCCCCCCATTTTCTGGTATATGAGCCTTTAGGCAATATCCTGCCTCTGATGTGGACTGGATGTATGGACTCAGTTCTAATAAATATTAGAATATGGCAAAAGCGATGTCATTCAGAGATTAGGTTACCAAATGACCATGGATTTTTCTCCCTTGCTGCCTCTGAGGCAGCCTGCTGTCATGTCACGAGCTGTCCTATGGAGAGGCCCATGCCCACGGAACTGAGGAAGGTGTCCAGCCAATAATCAACAAGGGACTCAGCTCCTTAGTCCAACAATGATAAATTTCACTTCACTGAAATTAAAATAGTTTTCTCTATGAAAGACACCATTAAGTAAATGAAAAGACAAGATGCAGACTGGGAGAAAACATTTGCAAGTTACATTTCTGGAAGAGCTTATATGCAAATATATTTTAAAAACTATCAAAATCCACCTGTAAGAAAATAAACATGATAAAAGTGAGCAAAGGATATGAACAGACACTTCACCACAGAGTATATATATATAGATATCAAATAAACATATGAGAGGATGCTCAATATCATTAGCCATTTGGGAAATGCAACTTCAAATCATAATGAGACCCCACAACTTTCTTATCGAGTGGTGGGAACAAACACCCATACAGCTACTCTGGAAAAAGGTTTGGCAGTTTATTATAAAAGTTAAATCATACTTACCACATGACCCAACAGTGCAACTTCTAGATATTTAAGCCAGAGAAATTAAACTGATGTTTACTCACAAACTCCACATGAATGCTCATAGTGGTTTCACTCACATTTGCTAAAAACTAGAAACAACCCAAATATTCTCCAGTGGGTGAATGAATAAACAAACCATGGTAAATCCATATAATGGAGAACCACTCAGCAGTAAAATGGAACATAGATAAACTGCAAAGGTGTTAATGCTAAGTGAACCAAGCCAATCTCAAAAAGTTACCTACTGGGATTCCATTTATCTTACATTTTAGAAAAGGTAAACTAGAGGGACAGAGAATGGAACAGTCTTTATTTGGGGATGGGGGAGAGTTTGATTACAAACGGTCAACACTAGGGAGTTTTGGGGGCTGATGCAACTGTTGCATGTCCTGATGGTGGCGGTGGTTACATCAGCCCCTCTAGGTTTTAAAACTCCTAGAAATGTACACCAGTGTGTGTGTCTTGATCGTGATGTTGGTTACACAGGTATATACACTCGTCAAAGCTCATCAGCCACTTAAAATGGGTGAATTTTACACTATGTCAATTATACCCCAATAATATTGAATTTTTTAAAAAGAAACCTTGCCCATATCAATCCCACTCCTTAAAAATAACTACTGTTGACATTTGAGTATGTAACCTGTCTAGAATGTATGCATGTCCTATAAAGGGTTGTTCAATCGCATAAATAACATCATTGTACACAGTATCTATTGTGCTTTGTGTTGTTTTTTTTACTTAAAGGTCCTGGAGGTCTTATAGATATATGGACAAATCCATGTATACATATATATGTTCTCTCTCTATATATATAAAATGTTGATAGATACACTATATTTTTAAGTTATATTGTAAGCCATTTTGTGAATGTAACACCATTTATTTAACCAGTCTCCCACTGCTGGATATTTAGGTTGTTGCCAAAGTTTTGCTATTACAAGCTATAGTGCTGCAGCAAACAGTCCTGTGCATGCATCTTTTTGCAATCATATTGATAGATAAATTTCTAAAAGTCGAATGACTGGTTCAAAGGGTATGTGTATAGCTGCTTATAGCTTAGCTGCTGACAGATTGCCCTCTAGAAAGAAGCAAGTAGAACTTTTAGAATGAATCATGTGTGCATTTTGAAGTTTCTTATTCCAAATCCTTGAACTTTTCTTTTGTAGGATCATGCTGATATTGAGTGGAAGTTTGCAAGGACAAAACTCTGGATGAGTTACTTTGATGAAGGTGGCACCTTGCCACCCCCTTTCAACATCATCCCCAGTCCCAAGTCATTTCTATACCTGGGTAACTGGTTCAACAACACTTTCTGCCCCAAAAGAGACCCTGATGGTAGACGAAGAAGACGCAACTTGAGAAGCTTCACTGTAAGGCTTTTAAAAATGGTTTCTTCTTAAAATTATTTTTCTACTTTCCTTTCTTTGAGACATGCTCTATCTTATACATCATAAAATCCCTCCAACCTACAGATGTTTGGGGGTTTATCAGGCAGCAACTCCTGTGTCATTCTGCAGTCCTAATGTTTAGACATATCTTCGGGTGGATGGGTTGCTGGGAGATGGCTAATGTAACCTCTGTGTCTGCTTTCAATGACAGGAACGCCATGCTGACAGCTTGATACAGAATCAGCATTATCAGGTAAAGCTTCCTCACAGGGACTAAGCACAATTGTTCTTGGTCAGCTGTGAGACTTTGGTTAAGTTACTTAACCTCACTGAATCTCAGGTTCCTCATCTGTAAAGTGGGGGTGATGAAACTTAATTCAGTGTTGTGAGAATTGAGTGGTAACTATATATGAGTGTATGTGTGCTTGTGTGTCCTGATGCAGTGCCTTGCACAAGTGCATTAAATGGTAGCTATCATCATCACCATTACTAATACCAAGCATAGTGACAATGTGTGTGCCGTTCCCAGGAGACAGTAAAATGAAGCCATCCCTGTAAAGGAGCAGTGTAGACTAACTCTAAGAAAAATATCTTAATTATGTAATTAGTGGACATTGACATCAGCAGACTTTGTGACATTGAAGAATGACTTTCTCAACTTTATAAGAATAAAAACTCTCATCTTATTAAGATGGTTAAAGTTTAATCTAGCCTGAAAGGAAAGGATATTGACTGTGACCATTCAGGTATCATTTGGCTCTCATTATTCCACAAATGTGAATCTGCATTTACCTTATGCTTGGCTGGAAATTTTTTCCATTCATGTGAGTTTGGTCTTACTGGCCCACTGTGCCACTAAATTTGGACACATAATAATTCTTCATTTAACCAATGGACTTAACTGGTTGTGCAGAAAATGGCTGGATCCTGGGGGGATTTTCTATTACAAAGACCATCTAGGGTTTTTTTATTTCCTGTGTATGTTCCTTATTTTATTGAGAGCTTGATAAGGAAATTGAATGCCTCTTCATGTTTTTTTTAATTCCAGGAAGTTATCAGGAATTTAGTCAAAAGATATGTGGCTGCTATGATAAGAAATTCCAAAACAAATGAGGGGCTAACAGAAGAAAATTTTAAGGTAATTTAATCATGAAGTGGTTCTCATTTCACATTTCTTAAGCATCATTTAATCTTCAGTGTTTGAGGTTTCTGGTGATGGAATTTCAGCTTCTTGTAACAGCAAAACCAGCTTCAATTCCTGTTCTCTCTCTCAGAATAGTCTGTCATCCAGTAGATGGAGTGATGTTACCAATGTCTATCACCACAATCAGCTTTATGAGCAAAAGAAATCTGCCCTATGCATTCTTTTAATATTCTCGGTGCTTCTCAGTGTGGGAATTGAGTGCTTTAAAAGGTGTGGCAAGGGGCAAGATAGCAAAGGGAAGATGCTTGGAGATTCGAAAGCCCTTTTTAGTTAAAAAGTATAAGATCAAGACCAAAAAAATCTATTATTAAACCCAAGATTTAAGAAACCCTACCATTAAACATTAAAATTCTCCAAATACTAGCATTAGCCTAAAACAGTGGTTCTCAACCAGGGGCATTTTTTCTCCAGGGCACATTTGGCAATGTCTGGAGACATTTTTTGTTTTCACACTGCAATGTATGTGCTATTGGCCTCTGATGGGTAGAGAGCAGCATTGCTACTAATCATCCTGGAATGTACAGGACAGCTCCCCACAACAGAGAATGATCCGGCTTGACATGTCAAGAGATTGAGAAATGCTATCCTAGAACACATGCACATATTGTAGGGAACATAGGAAGGCTGTTATCCTAATGCATAGACATGACTCTTCTATGGAGGGCCTGCTATACGCCAGCTACTCTGCTGGGTATTGCGGCACAGTGGCGAGCAAGCTCTAAACAGCCCCTACTCTGGCGGAGTGACACATGAACAATAACACTAGAGGATGATGAATGACTGACTATTCTAACATGATAAACACAGGGTGCTGTGGAGACACAGAGAGTACATATGGGGGGCTCCCACTGGGACTTGGGGAGTCAGGGCAGGCTTCCCAGAAGTGATGTTTAAGCTGCAGCTCAAAGGAGGATCCAGATAAAGGAGCGTTGGGGAGAAGAATGTTCTAGACAGAGAGAACAACACAGGCAAAGACCCAGAGGCAAGAAAGAATATGCCCATACAGGTTGACAGTAGAGAGCCTGAGGAAAGAGTAGGAAGAGATGAAACAGGAGAGACTGACAAGTACCAGGCCTTGAAAAGCCTTGTAGTCCATGGAATGGCATTTCTACTTTTACCTAAGGTCAGTGGCAAGCTACTAGAGAGTTTTAAGCAAGGGAATGACGTGATCCAACTTAAACTTTTAAAAGGTGGTTTTTAAAGGAGCAATTATCTAAGCAGCGAGTTAGAGATAGAAGACATTTCATAGGGAGTTGAATGAACAGGGCCTCCTGTCCCAAAACAAGTCTCATCACCTGATGCATTCCATTCCCTAGTTATGTTTCTAAAGTCCTAAAAGCTTTTTCCTCTTCAGTAGTTCCTTTATACGCAGATGCCCACCAGAGCCAGTGCAATAATTCAATACCTTAATTCTTAGTACTTCAACAGGGACTAGTGCTCCTGATGGGGAGCGTCTGAAATCAACTTTACCAATTGCACAGTTCTTTCAATGGCCAGCCCTGCCTACAGTTATTGATATTTTTTTGTGTGATGGAATAATGTGAGATTTTCTGGTAGCTCTGTACTTTATGGTTTGGTATTAGGCAAAATCTGGAACATTCCAAAGGATACTAAATGTGCCTATTTTGAACAAAATTTGACCAAGTTTCTTAACATAATGTGTGTTCTCTCCTGCCCTACGAATTAAAACAGGACTTCCCCAGCTTTCGATATGAAGTGCTTGACCTCTTAGGAAATAGGAAACACCCACGGGGGCAACACTGAACTCTCTCAGAGGGATGATACCAATGATAGTGGTGGGGCGCGGGCCAAATCCAAGATGTCGTTCAACTTAAGCTGCAAGAAAAGGCCTGCCACGGGCCACCTCTCATCAGAACCATGCCAAGAGTCAGTGGTACTCAAGGGAAGTCAAAAGCTGAGTCACTGAGCAAGCGCTCCTTCATGGGTCCTCCTCTCAAGAAACTGGGTCTCCTGTTCTCCATGTTTAATGGTCATATGTCCGGACCCAGTTCAGAACCAATGTACACAATTTCTGATGGATTGTTCAGCGGCGCTGTATGTGGCAGAACATCAGATATTCTCAGAAGGAGAAAGGGAAAGCAGAGGCCTGTTCTCAGAGTGAAATGAATCTCAGTGAGGTAGAATTAGGTGAGGCCCAGGGTGCTTCTCAGAGCAATGAATGCCCTCTAGCGTGTTCCAGCTCTCTGCACTGCATATCCAGCATCTGCTCCCCGAACTCTAAACGTTTAGACTCTTCAGAGGATGTACTTGAAACTTGGGGAGAGGCTTGTGACCTGCTCATGAATAAATGGGGTTATGTACAGGAAGAACAAGTTACAACTCCGCTCTAAGTCAAGCCCCTATCATCTGTTCTGGAACTCAGGAAGAAATTTGTAATTGCCTTGCTCTTGGAGGTGACATAGAATATGATTCCCTTACCGCACGCCCCCCCACCCCCCAAGAAAGGAGAGTGAAACTCCTCTTATTTTCACTGTCTTTTATAGCCACATTCTTAATTTTTGTTCTTATATTATTAATTCTATTATTTGCCTTTTTATACCTATAAACACTAAGTCCATTTCACCACCAACTGAAAGGGTGTTTGCCCCTAATCAGCGGAGGTGCAGTCGGGTGCTGAGCCCTTTGGCTTTGCTTTTCACCCTTGCTTCCTTGAAGCACCAGGTGCCACTCTGCTACACAGGTTGCTGCCACACAGATTCCTGACCTTCCTCAGGATCTCACACCATTTCCCCACACGGCTGAAGGATGTGGTCTGCAGTCCCCACCAGCTATCAGATAAAGCAAACTAACCTGCCTATCTCTGTTGCTCTCCAGTGCTCTATGCTGCCCATTCTGGTTCACTGAACAGACTCCAAAAATTGTCAACTTGTGGTTTCTAGGTATAACTGGCCATCTTGAGTTTTTGTTCTTAAACACTACAACTTCTTATTGTGGTGGCTGTGACTTTTGAGTTTTTGTTTCTTAAGGATATGTTAGTTTCCAAATGTGTGCCAATGAATATTTACCCATAACATATGTCTTATCTAATTAGTGAATTCCTCTCCTGTGTTTCTGTATTTCAGTTAACTTACATTTTAAATTTTGATAGCATTGAGACTAGTATTTAGGATGTGTACTGTTTTTAAAAACTTCTGCACTCTAACCAATAGTCACTACATTTCATATATTGGCAATTAAAAATAACTAGCTGGTATATTTATAGGGTCCTATCTACTGTTGATAGTTTTAATCATTATTGCTATCAAAAGCATTTATAAAAGCCTGGATTTGAAAATTTTTTTTTGAGAGGGCATCTCTCATATTTATTGATCAAATGGTTAACAACGATAAAATTCTGTATAGGGGAGTCAATGCTCAATGCACAATCATTAATCTGCCCCAAGCCTAATTCTCATCAGTCTCCAATCTTCTGAAGCATAACGAACAAGTTCTTACATGGTGAACAAATTCTTACATAGTGAATAAGTTCTTACATGGTGAACAGTGCAAGGGCAGTCATCACAGAAACTTTTGGTTTTGATCACACATTATGAACTATAAACAATCAGGTCAAATATGAATATTTGTTTGACTTTTATACCTGATTTATATGTGGATCCCACATTTCTCCCTTTATTATT